ACAATTCCATTTAAATTATTTCTTTTTTAAAACTAGCATTGGATACTCAATGGTCATTGTCGTCGTTGTCTTCGCTCGAATGTACATACATAGCACAAATAAAGTTCAGAGTTCAACAATTGTTTAGTTGAAAAACAGCTAGAAACGTTATGTCTCCGTCAATGTATTACTTGCCAAAAGACTCGTCATAATCGGTCACTGATACCGTTCGATAAGGAACGTGTCCCCGGTTATCTGTCAAAGCCGAGCGTCCATGATAGTTAATCTGACTGAGAGACAGCCTGTCATCTCTCGATCACGGGTGCCGCGTGCTCGATTCGTGATTTCTGATCGTACGATATTTAGCCACAAATCGGAATCATTGGGGAACGTGTTGCCTCGGTTATCATAAAAAAAACCACGTAACCTAATAGAAACCTTCGCCCATTCGATTTTCCGGGATAAACAGATCGTACCCTTTAGTTTCTTCGCGTCAAGGTCTTTGAACCGTTTCAACACTAGCTGCCATTACAAGAACCCACGCCGTGTTCGGTAAAGACTACTATGTAGTACAGATTGTATAATTCACTTGGACACGTTGAGCGTCAATAAATGAGTGTATTACCCATGAGAATTCCAAAAGTCAAATCAATTTATTTAACCCTCAGCCCCATGATTTCACAGCTGTGCTTGATAAAGCTACTTTATCATGAATAATTTATTATAGGAAGAAAAGAATTTGAATAATATATATCTCCGATTACTCCAGAGGTTAACGATTGATAATAGAAAAGTAATATTTAACTCATATTCAGAAGAAGTAAATAACATTTGGATTTATCAAAATACAGTTCAAAATTTCCATCGCCAGTGTAACACGATATCATAGAGGAAGGCGTTAATGAAGCGTTGACTGTCTTAGTTTCATATATCCTAGTAAATTTTCATTTAACCAATATTCTACGATAAAACTTAATTTTCAAGTTCAGAAAAAGAATTGTGTCATCCACGTATAACTGACATAACAATTAAAGTGGTTATTGCTTTTTATTCCTTGTCAATAGCAATTGAAGAGGATCATTGTGATTTATTAAATATTTGATAATTCATAATGAATATAACAATTCATAATATATAGTATCTAATAGTAATCATTATTTAACTGACAGTTAACCCTCTTTTTACTAACGCGGTCGAGAGTATGGGCCCTTTATGATCAAATCTTATTTATCATTCTTGTGAGTTCTGTGAAAATCTAAAAAAATTGTAAAATATTTATTATAATCCCTACTTTGATGTACAAATGACACTTTAGTCAAATCTTAATATCGTTTTGCAATGAAAATTAAAAATATCGACGAAGTCATGAAAAAATGAAATTCTCATTAAAAGTGAATAACTTTGTAATAAGTAAATATTAAAGAACCACATTGTAGAGTTTTACACATGAGTAAAATCTTTCGAAGTATTATGAAGAGATTTGCCAATCCTTAAAGAAGTATTATTTGGAGACTTCAATTTGACTTCAAACTTCAATTTATTTTATCCTCCTACAACTTGGAATTGAACCGACCACGATGAACAATGAAATTTTCGACAGGACCATAAATGGTCCATATTGCCAGTGGAGAATTAAGTATAGATTTCGCTTTGCCATCTCTTTTATAAACTTATGACATTACAAAATTAAAATAGGTATTAAGTTATTCAATAATTTCATGTGGATTTGTTTACAATTGTAGATTTTTTATCTTATCATGGTGTTCAAAATATGCATTACAAATTTTCAATGTTGACTTATTCCACAACATTGTCGGATCTCGTTTTAGTCGAAAACACATATCCAATTGATTCCTATAGCATAATTAGTCCAGAAGTTTCATTATTGTCTCTAAGACCCGTTTGTTTTGTGACATCCAGTTGACCCTTCTCAAATAACGGTCGTACGTTTACATAAAAACCGACATTCTGACGCACAGCTTACTGACATTTGCCAGCCAAATAGAAACTTTTTTTTGCTGTGAACAATGTCATGAAGGAGACTTCGTCAATCAACTGGAATTTTTTTCTCGACAAAGACGAGTCCGAACGCGCATAAATCTGACAATAACGTGGATCAAAATGATACTCAAAAATTTCAAGGTAAGCTCATTTCCGCCGACGAACCATGTTTCCTAGAGTCGAGTCTAAAAAGTTTTGAGACCGATGAATGTGGCAACGTCCGTGCGTATAACGGTGTTACTGCTTACTACTGTTTTCAACATGTTTCCAACAAATTTTAAAAAAGTTGAATATTTCTTTTTTTTTATTAAATGCTAGTTTTAATTGTTTGATAAATGAAATTCTATTTTTCCAAAACGGTCCTTTGATAAATGATATTTTAATACAGAATAATTTCTGAAATCTAGATTACGTGAGAAATTATGTTCTTTAACTTCAAAATGACACAATTCTTTTAATTTACTTAAATAAAATACAAACCACCTGTTGTATGTTAAGACCACTCAAGTCGTGAAAGATGTAATTGACTTTTATTAATACTCTCATCAAAGTAATAGACAATATTTCTTTCAATCTATTATTATTCGCATATTTTCTAAGTCACGTGTATTGTTAGCGCATCGCAGATAAAAATATCTCTAAATTTGATTATCAATATATACTATTTTATTTGTAACTACTGCTAACTACAATTACACTAACTACAATTTTTGACAGTATCACAAGCATAGAAGTGATACTAATAATCATTAAACAACATGTAATGCTATTTTGTCAACCCTAAGATTTCTTTTTTTATATAAATAGATTCTCATTAAAATGGACGTCGGTCAAACGTGATTACATATTCCAAACCATTATTAAACTCTGTAGTTATATTGCAATGTAAACATTCTTATTGTCATCAAATGCATACTATTTGTTACATTATCTTTCAATTGTAACAAACATACAAAGACATATTAGAAATAATTCAAATATTTCAATGTTTATTATCGTGCAAAGCGGATTATTCTATACGCCGCATGGTCTGGTTTGATAAGATTGTAGCACGTGTTGAAAAATGATCGACAGTAATTGCGAGTGTAAGTATTTGATGAGAGGTCCGAGCAGGCTTTTGCAAACACGCGCGATGTCTGTACATTATTTGTTCTTTTCTTATCAACTTTACTTTTATATTTACAATCTGTTGAAAAGAGACAATAAATAAATAAATAAATAAATAAGCAGTAAAACAAATACGTATATTTAGGTAAATATATGTAATTAGTCTTTATAAATAGACAATTTTTTACTTCCGTAAAGTTTTTGGAACCTATTAATTAAGAAAAAAGGTGAATTAATACTTAATTAATAAATTATCAACATTGAATGCGACTACGTTCCTGCTCAATGGTGTGGTCGGTAATGAGATGACTAATCGATAAGTCTATCAGTCGAGTGAACACAGAAATCGTTCAAATCGCATGATTCGTACGCATTGCTCACTGACAAGTGCAATATCGTTTATTGCATAACTGACGTCGCTCCAGTGCGATTAATAACAACGCATGACACGCTCGGGTTCTAACGATCGAAGCAAACAAATTCTTTTCTTCGTCATACGAGCAACTGTATAGTGTATACATAGTAGGTATAGCCGGCGTTACCCGTGAATATACTATTCGAACAGAATCTTTCATATGTACTTTTCTCTATCCATAATTATCATTGTTAATAATATAAATCAGAAATTCTGTAAACGAAAATGAAATCGTATAAACTGTGATACGGATCGCTCAATACTTTTTTGAGATAGCTAATTATTTTTTAGATCGTTGTATACCAGTCATACATAAACATTTACCGCTAGAAAAACATTAATAGTAATTTTCGAAAAACGTTACATATGTAACAATCAGCATAATTCGTACGAAAAAAATTTTGAATTTATTACATTCGTTCCTCTTAATCGAATTCACAGGATGGTTGTTCGTATAACAATTTTTTCAGTGAAATTATATATACGGTGACGTT